TCAAAGATGAAATCTCTAGTGTGCAAGTGAAACGAAACAGAAAAAAAGAAGAGAACTTCCCAAAACAGCCACATGGCAAGAGAAAAGCCATTTACTTGAATGAGAAAAGGCCAAGGTCAAATCCCAAAGTCATATCTAATCTAAGAGGTCTATGAACTACTGAAAGAAGTAATCATCAGGAAAACAATTATCTCACTTTCCTTGAAAAAAAAAATCTTGCTTCAGACTGTCCCCTCTTAATATTGCAGATGCAAATTTACATTACTAACGAGTGTCAAAACAAACATGCCCTGTAAGGAATTAAAGCAACAGGGTAAACGGGATCCTTTTTGCTCATGAATTTCAAATCATCTTACAAAGCAGATCTATAAATGAGTTTAGCTGCCAGCTAAGTTTGTAAGTCAAAACAACCACCGATCACCATTCCCCACTTGATACTGCAGGATTCAGCTTTTTCATAGCCTGGAAAGACAATATTCTAACACTGTTATGCCTACTCACAGAGGTCACCAAATTAGCACTAGCAGTCTGACTCTTGCATCCTGAGGTGGTGTTATAAAGCCAGCCCACAAACTGTAGTGCTAAGCTGGAGAGAGGCCATAAGTTAGAGCTGGCTTTGTATTTAGTAAATGTTACCCCTGCTTGAGGAGAGCCAACACCACTTTCAGTTTTCTCCCTTTTCAGACTTACTTATGGTTTAACAGCAAGAGAAGCCTATCCCATACTGAATGAATGATTACCTCTTGTAGCCTTGACACATATCTGCGTTCAGAAAACGAACTTCAGCCATCTAATAGCATCCCTGCACACCGTATGGCATTAGCAGGCCTTTGCCACTTGTTCTAGTGTGACACAGCAGAACCACACGACATCACCAAAGGAACATGACATCCCAAGATGTTTCATTTTTCCTGCAATTAATTGGAATCAACAGGGCTTCTTCCTTTCACACTGGCAAAGACTACCAAGCTATCTTCTAAAAAGAGTTAAACTATCAATTATAGAATTAAAAGTAGTAATTCTAGTTAAAGAGCTCATACAGCTAAAATTTCTGCAATACTACCATCACAGTATCAGTGTCATAAAAGGCAACAGAACCTAGACTACTCCCTAGAAGATCATGTTTTCCAACCGGGTTCCTTAAAAAACAAATTCTGAGATTTTTTTATATAATTCATGTCCAACACTATTTTGAGCATTTATCAGCTTTGCAATGCAGTAGTGGAACAAACAGCCTGTTAAAAAGTATCTTGCTGAAAGCAAACCCAAGAAAGTTTCTTAGTTTTTAACCTCCACAACTTAAACTGAACTTAAGGAACATGGTATGAATTTCCAAACATCTATAAACAACACATTTCCTAGCTAGCAGCCCTAGACTGTTCACTGATTCAAATTTCTTCTCTTAAATACATTTTCTTGATCAATGTTGGAAAAATCTGCAATTTCTTAGTTTGAAAATAAAACTTAGAAGTCACGATTGCCATCTCTCACCAAGGCCAACAGAAGGGCAGGGGAAAAAAAAAAACAAAATCACAACAGAAAGGTAAAGTTTGCCAAGTTACTTTGAGATCAGGATCACATGAATACCCGTACAGGTAACAGAAGAACAAATACGGAAAAAGTTTAGTATAGAAAGGTTAATAAAAAACAAAGGCAAAGCGCAAATGGGAGAAAGGAAAAGAAAATTCTTGATAAAAAATAAAAAGTAAAAAGCCCTTGACAGCCATTTTGGATCACATTATTGCAGAGCCTAAGAAATGCAGTTTTATCATGGAATCCATTAGAAAGTAAATTGTGTAGTAACAGAAAGTCAGGAAATTAATGTGACCTGCTTGAATAGAAAATGTCTTTGGGAAAGAGTCAGAATGACAGATGATCCCAGGAAAAAGACAAAAATATCCAAGTTTACCTTCTCAGAAGGATCCCGATACTGCCACAATTACCATTTTACCAATTACAATCAGGCCATTTCAGAAGAATATCATGGAAAGAAAACCCTCTTTAACCTGACAAGACTGAGCAGGGAGCAAGATCTCTAACCTCATGAAAATCACAAAGATTTCAGAAGTGATAAATTGCAAGGGGACCTCATTCACTTCCCAGTTTTTCTTCAAGGCAATTACCATGGCAGTACTGCAGGCTCTGCTGAGTCCACCTGTCTTTTGGTTTCCTGGCCAGAGTACAAAGAAAAAGGCACTGCTGCACATCTGTACCACTTGTACTATTTCATTGCCTTACACAATAGCTTTGTGTAAACAGAGTTTTGGGTTTCAGGGCTCTTCTTCCTCCTTCCTTCCTCAGTTACCCCCAAACAATTACTGTGTTTTTGCTGCCACCAAAAATTTTTAAGACTTCCACTTGAAACTAGACTCTTACCTTCAAAGAACTGCTGTAAGGCCTCATTTTCTCCCACCACATCCATGAAAATCCAGCAGAACTGTTCTGCTTTCCTACTGCTTGAAGAGTTCCCACTGAGAAAAATGCACTGTTTCTTCTCCAGATGATTACCAACATGCCAAGGAACACTTCATGTTTTTTTCAGAGGTTTCAATGAATTTGTCCCAGCTGATTTCATTCCTCCATAACTAGAGCAACAGTTATACTTAGGCTTTATGTAAAGGACTTAAACTACACATAAAGGAAAATCTGACAAGCCTTTTGAGGCAAGGTGAAGGTGATGTGTATTCTACCCAGTAAGTAAGTCTAATGTTCTTGCTTCAAGGACCTTTGGTCGCAGTACTAACTATAATTACACATGCGCAAAAAACGCAGCAATAAAAATTACTTATCTTGTCTTTGTACTTTCACACAGGTCGTATAATTAATACTACTGACGAAATCAATAGTAATCAAAAATGCAAGAGCAAAGCCATCATTAGTAGGGAAGTAAAATTTCTAATTGTTACTAACAAAATTAAATTACAGAATTACCTGTTTATCTGAGGTAGCATTGAAAAACATATGGGAAAGCTGAACATGGAACAAAGCTCTTTACTCCTGCTAAGCAGTAAATCCTATTTTCTATTTTCTATTTCATTTTCTCTGATTTCATCTTTAAACACTAAAAATGGCCCATTTTGCCACCCCTAAGCAAACAGGACAAAAATATTCAGATGTTTTGAGTAGGCAACTGAAAGAGGCATTTTTTTATGAACAAAAATTTCAATGAAGTCAACTCTGGAATTAGGCTATTTTCTGAAGTAATTATATTCACCACATAAGTAACTGTTGTGCAGTTTTTACAAGTCCTGAGCACTCACAGTGACACAGGCTTCTCAGGATAAACAGCTCATATTAAAAATATAGAAAAGAATTTCAGAGTAGGGTCTTGAAGACAGAAGCAAGCCAGTCAGCATTTACAAGATGTTGATGTAAATGAGCCAAACAGTCATTACCAGAGATACATAGGGTACATCTTTGCTATCTCTAATACAAGAAAATCACCTCAGCATAATACATTTTAGATACTACCATGTATAGAAAGGACCCTTCTCTCTGCTTGAATGAGCAACAGGACTTTGTTGTTGAAAAGGATATTAAGTCAGAATAGCAACAGCTACTGGCTACCATTTGCCTACTGTTAGCTAATCATGAACACAGTTGTACCTCATTATGTAAACTCAGGATTAACAATCATTTAGGAAGCATTTATGAGTCTAGCATAAAACATAATGCCAACAAACACAGCTTGTTTTCTAAGAGCCAGTAAAACCAGACTTCCTTAGCATTATTGAAAGAATAAACAACCCTTTAACAATTTATGGTAGAATTTTTCCAGGTGTCTCCAACAGCAAGTAGTACCCAGGGAGAGGAGATAGATAAAAATATTTCTTCGGTACTGAAACATCCCAAGTTGGACATACATACTCCATTACTTGTAAAATGTTTAGGTTCAGCTGTTTGTTTTAATTTTAACATTAAAATGCCTGGTTGAAGCCAACACTTGCAAAGTGTTTTCAGGCACATACAAGCAACACAAATATGGTATTAAATTTCACTGCTCATTCTATTTACTTTTGGGAAAACGGAGAACATTCCAGTAAGAAAGTAATGAATAGCACTGGTTTTGTTCAGCATCAAAGAGATCTATATCCACTGACATGCTTCTTGTTAAAAAAACAACTATATAAACTCCCCTTTTAATGTTTGTCTGTTTACTTGCCAGTGCTTTAATCTTAAGTGCAATTGATAAATGGCTGTCAGGATCAAGATCTAACGTTTTTCCAAAAGGGCAAGTCTAGTACATATCCACAGCTATGTGCCTGTAACCTCATTAGCTGTCTGCTTTCAGCTTAGACAATGTCCAGGAAAAAAAGGACCACTTGAACTTTAAGTGCTAAAGTAACACTTTAAAATGCGTATTTAAGAGGCCATGATCCTTTTTAGGGTTGTCTGACACAATCTGTACATGTGAAAAAACTGATAACATTATATGGAAATTATCATCAACATGTTAAAGAAATCACATCATAAAAATTTCCCACTTTCAAGGGCAGCTGTGGGCAAAATGATGTATAAAGCACTGAAACCCAAAAAAAAAAGGCAGGATTAAAAAAAAAAAAATTTAAAGGAATGAAAACATTTTAATGACAGAAAATCAGAGGGAAAGAGAAAGTTTTTAGCAGTCAGATAGGGGTCAGGACAGATTTCTAACCAAAGTGTCAACAAGATAATTTTATTGTTCCTTGATATTCAAAAAGCACCCTACTTTAAAGAGAAGATACTCAGGTTTATTATGCTGTATATGTTTCTCTTCTTGCATGTTTTTAAAAATTAAAAGTATAGGAAAGCAGCACTTCAAAGAATTCCAAGTTCTCTAATTGTCTGTTAACCGTATTGGCATGTATGCAGAGAGAGTTACATATATCTATCTGAACACTACAATGAATAACATGTCAGGCATTTATTCTGTCTTCACAAAATCATCTCATTTTTACATTTTAGAATGTCTTCTCGGGGAGATTCATATTATTCTGCATCACAAACAACAGAAGACAGAGGCTGTTTCAGATTAACACTTTAATCAGAATTTCTGTTTTTAAATGTAAATTACAATCACTAATACACCTGCAAGTGTTTACCACATTTGTTCAACTAAATATTATATGTACGCATATACAGCATAGGTCAGTTTAAAACAATCACAGTACTTCTTAGTGCCATCTGCAAAAGGAGAAAGATCTTGGACCCACTTTGTGGAAATAAATATCAAGTGACAAAAAAAAGATTCAGCCATTTTAGTTATGTATATTCAATGAAGTTCATGCGCGCACACGAGTAATAAGACTTAGAGCTCTTCCTTGTAATAGCCAAGTTTTGCTAGTGACATCTCTCGTCTCAGCTGCATAACTTCCCAGAACATCTGATCCACTAAAAAAAGACAGAAATATCATTAAACATACCAAGTTCATATTTTATTTCAAGTGATGTATTCAGGCTGCTTCACTCTACATGAGTTATGGGGAACTTTGTAACAAACATCTGGTAAAACCAATATTAATGTGTAAGGGCTAATTGTGCTTGGTTATGATAAAATCTATTCAAGTATATATTCTAAAAATTCTAAGTGACAGTCCTATAAAAAAATTCCTCAAATTTTAGATTTCTTTTTAAAATTGAGAACAACAATACATCAGTACTTCTTATCAGTTTCAATTAATTGCAGTGCCTCATTTTAATTGCCCTGCCCCCTGACTCACCTTCTGTAAAACTAAATAACTACAAAAAAGAAAAATTAGAACTTGTTGAATAAGAATTGCTTAATCAAATAATCCGTAATTTTGTTATATTTTTTCCATTTATTATCTTCCTTCCTCCCTCTTTTTTTCTACAGGAATCTGCAGCAACAATAAGTTGGGTAGGAAAGGCCTTTTTTTCTTATTTCATCTGTATTTTCCTAAACTTGATGACTCTAGTGCATACTGTAAACTTCTGGATGCCACAAATCAAAATTGAGTATATAATTACAAGACAAAAATAATTTCCATGTAGTCAAGATCCTAACATAGAATGTCTACTAATATAATTAACCTGAACAAAAAGTACAAGGTCTTCCTTAACATATTTCAGAAACCACTTTTGTAAAAGTGAGCTCTGTCTCAAAAATTTCATGGTGCATTAATAGAAATGCACATTATGTAGACAATTATTATGAGCGCCTACATTCTTGTAATGTTATTGTTGAAATACTTACATAAAGCTACAAATGCAAATTTCATATTTTAGTAGTAAAGATGATAATGGAGCTGAAACACCGAACTCAATTTTTGTCTGAACTTCTTGTGAAGAATAAATAAATTTGATAATGCTGAAAATATTTCATTATTTGATATAAAAAAATATTAACTTAGCTTTTCTATCTCAATAGTAAATAAACAATTTTTAGTTGAAACTTCATAGGTTCTTTTGGTCAAAGTAAAAGCCCTTTAATTATACATCATATTAAATTTTAAATAACACATTTTCAAGATCTTTAGCGATGCTGGTACATCAGTAAAAATTACCACCATCTGAAGGTATTATTAAACATAATTTAGTTTATGAAATAGGTGAATTTCTGGTAAATTCCATGGCCCTTTGACAGTGAAAATAAATAGCATTATTTTTGTAAGGAACACTCTAGCACCTCAGAAGTACTCAAAGTTAGAGACGGAAACAAAATATTTCGATGTAGCTAAAATCCTGAGCTCCAGAAATTTAGAAACATCAGAAGAGATGACTAGAGGTCAGACAGGAAAAGTGGGGCTAATTCCAGCCAAATTCTTGATGAAGCAAATCCACAGACACTCGAAAACTGGAACAATGAAATGCACAGACATCCATAAACATTGCAATGCTGTTTTATTCTACTTTCAAAACTGCAACTGAGCTAAAAAAATTATATTTTCACAGTGAAAGCAAAATTTTTAATTAACTATTGACACAAGGCTAATGACACTTTTTCCGCTATCTGTGCTCAGCATGTTTGGGAGCCTAAGTGATATGACCTGTTTCAAAAAAACCTTGGACTGAAGGCTGTTTGGTAATATTCTTTGACCTGGACAGGAAAGACAATTAAATCAACTGTGTGCAGTCTAAACACAATCAAATTATCTTCATTTTCTAGTGATAAACAGGTAAAAGGGTCTTGAAAACGAAGACTAGTAACTACAACTCCAACACATAATATATGTTTAAATTCCAGAATTAAGTAACTAAGTGTACAATCCATACATTTTCACAAACATCCTTTATATGGACATACTGAAACCAGATAGCACAGTTAGGCAAATTTCTGCATTGCTCTGCAGACATGGTTTAAACAGAGTTGTTGGGTATGCTATTCTGACAAGAACAAAGAAGCTGGGTAACAATGGTAGAGAAAACTCAAACCCACGGCCTGGAGCAACAGCAGTAAAAAACACATTTCTCTTTTGGAGTGGACAGTAATCAAGCCTTACATTTATAACCAGAGCCCTAATCAAGAGATTTTGCCATGCTACTGCAATGACCTTTCAGCTGCACTCAGATGAATCATTACATTATACAGGTTTTCTGTATACATATAACAGGCTTCCTGTTTACTTTTTACAATTGAACCCAAAATATTGTCACTCTTGCCAGCTCCCCCTGAAAAAAAAGTATGGCAAGAATGGCTCTCTCAATTCTCAATGTACCAAATGAAAAGACACGTAAAAACACCAAGCAAAAGGAAAAATGGCTCAGATCAAACCAAACTGAAGGTATTTTGGTCTAAAATATCTCCATATTCTGTGAAAGACTTGATTTTTGACTACTGTGTGGAAAAACTGTGACTCACACCTCTTGTTACAGACTTTTTCATAGCATTTCCTACTGAATAATATATAAGGGTTTTTTAAATTGACTAAAAATCAATGAGTTTTAATTTGTTGTTGTTGAAAAAAATAACTTTACTGGAGAGTGAAATATCACCACATTCTCAAAATTACGACTACAAACTGATAGCTTTCCAGTAACGTCAGGTCACAGTTATTGTGCATAGATAAGCAACTTTTAGGCACAGGCACTATTTAAATTTCTGTTCGTATACACCAAACACAATTTCCTACTCACCATCTTGCTGCTTCAACAGTCCTTGCTGGATGTATCGAATATATGTAAAGAAGTTACACACAGAAGTGATCTGAACTCATAAAAAAATAATGGTAGTTAATATAATTTTGCATAATGGTATGGAAAAAAAATAAGTAAATAACTATGCAAAATGAAATCACAGTAAATCTACTTACCCTGTAACGACAGAAAGGAGAAATGTAGTAATAACTGCTTGAATCTCCTAATTTGATTCTATGCTTGCATGACTTACTTTGTCCACTGAGAGCACATTTCCTACAAATATAAAGGTCATGTGATTTAATAAACAAATCTGACATTAATGTCAAACACCTGCATGTGTTTACAGTATTAATGTAACTGCTTCACACTGGTGCAGATACATGAGTCTATCTTCATTTTACATTACATTGGCAATTATTTTAGTTCCAAAAGGACTAATTTCATTCCAATACTGGTGCATTTTGATGCTTTTTTGAATTTTAAAACTTTCTTCAGCTCTGGGCATGTACTTCATATTCACTAATTAAAGTTTGGCTTGACAACTCTGGAGCAGTGGATTTCTTTAATTAACTCTTGATATGTGAAATAAGCATTATTTAAATTATCAGTTGATGTCAACATTTAAACAGATATTTTAAAAATTCCACTCAATATTGTATTTCATCATAAAAAATATCAGCCCTACAGAAGAGCATTCAATTCTCTGAAGCCTCTCTTAAATGCATTCTAAGGCCAGCTTTGCATTTATGGCCAAATTGAAATCATATTTTATATTCAGAGTGTCAAATAATTTGGAACAAAGGAAAATAAGCTGTCTAGCAGTAATTCTTTATGTTACCGCTACAAAAAGCAATGGTAAAATAATTTACATATTTCCATGCAGTATTCTGGAAAGGTCAGTAGTCACCACAAAATCTTCCCCCCCCCTCCCCCAAAAAAAAAAAAATTAAGAAAAGATAATGGATTTTTAAAAATTAGGAGAATGTGATTTATTCAGAATGTCTGTAACACAGCATCTCAGATTAACTAGCCTGTCACGGCAACCACTGTTTCATTAATTTTAAAAGCTGCTGACTCTTCTCCCTCCCATTTCTACCTCATGAAATTAGGGAGTCTAAGAACAAACAGCCTCTCAAAAGTGAAACAAAAATTACTAAGCTTTTGTGGTTCTAAACACTGGCTCACAAGCCTTTTAAATAGCTGCAGCAGGTCCACAGAACCATGTAAGACAGGAGAAAACTGAAGTGTGCATATGACTTTCCATAACAGTTTATGAGGACTGACAGCAGTGCATTGATATAAGAAATCCTAGGGCAGCTGAAGCAAGCTGATCACAATTTCAGTCCGGCTGTTGCCAGAAGACAGACAAACTTTCAGTGCTAGGAAAATAAAACCTTTTCTTCCTTTTGGCTACATAATTACCTTCTATATGTTGTCTTCCATCACACAGGGTTAAATGCTGGCACAGTGGTTACTACTGATGACTCAGTTCTGTGCTGTATGGCCCACACGCAGCTTAGTGCTTTTTTACCCACAGGGACAATTATTTGAGTCTTGTGGAGAAACTCAGCTGTGTCTTTTGTTAAGGCAGCACTTACTGCACACCATCACAGGCACCATTCAGTACCTCCTGTATAGCAAGAACCTTTCTTTACTACTATCATGGCTCTTCACCCTCTACTCCTTACTTTGCTATTGGGCTATTGCCCACTATGTTATGCATCTGTTTCCCCATGCAACTGTACAACAAAATAACCTTTAAAAACATTACTCTAGTTTTTGTTATTATTTGTCTATATTATGTATTTAAGATGTTTCAATAAAAATAGTGCTATGCACTGTATAATAATAAAAACCTGAAACTGCTACTCTGATTCAATGAAAATTGGAACACCTGTTTCCCATACAGTGCCAGTGATCATATACAAGGCAAAGCCCATTTGCTGTCAAACTACACTTAAATACTGCACATTCCTCACCTATTACTTATTTACAAGCAACATCACAAAAGTTTTTGTCGATACACAGCAGCTGGAAAACTGAGAAAGGAATATGGCCAACCTTTTGATACAGCTAAAATAACTACATTACAATTTGTGCACTGTCCTATCAAAATGTTAATCTATATATCTAGCCAACTATTTAAGGATTTCATAAATTCTAATTAAAAAACTATATTACACTGGAGAAAACAGATTAAAAATATGAAGAAATTTCTGAATGATGCAACTGAGTCTCCTGAGTAAGTATTTCATCATGTCAAGATACAGGGAAGTTGCCTGAACCACAGTGACTTTAAATCAATTTGCCAATTGGATTCTGACACATGACTTGTTTCAGTAGTTTCTGGCTGTCCAGATTCTCTGCTGCACTCATGGAACACAGCTCACCATGGTAGCTCTTGGACATGAGTTCACTACCCCTTGAGTAGCTCCGTTATTGGTGCGGGCCCTTCTAACGAAGAGCTGTTACAGCTCAAAAAGTGTGTTTTCTAGTGACAGGAATAAGTTGAGGAGTATATATGAATGCTTTTATTTTGTAGGCTAGAAAGGATCAAAGACTGTCATAAAACACAATTTTCATTTTATACAGCTTCTTTAAAGAGAAAGAATTTTGAGATATGTTAATTGTAGTTTCTCTTCCACTCAAAAACAGAGGAAAAACAAGGACTAAAAAGCAACAGCAATGACAAAGAAAATTAAAGAGTCAGATGAAACATTTTCATGCAAGACTTCTATCATAAAATTGAATTCTCTCAAATCAAGTATTAGAGAAAAGTCATGTCCTTCTCAAGATCTGGAAGGCTCCAAATTAACACTGACCTTGTTTGCTTACTCTGACATATGCTGAAGCACACTACAAATCCCTTCCTTCACATCCATCAATGTCTCAGTGTCTCAGGGCAAGTCCCTCCCACCTAACTTCAACAGCTGTATCAGTACCTGACAACAAGTCTTGCTTCAGATTCCTCTAGGACCACTCTAGAATTTCTAAAACAACCTTCCTGTCATTCAAGCATACTTCCTAATTTAGGTTCAAACTCCCACTCACCTTCAATCCTACTTCATTACATTCCTCCTGCTCAAACTCGAAGGATTTACTCTATATATCCTGTCTTCAAATCCTTCAGTTACCTTTGCCAGTGTCTTACATATATCTTAAATTTCTTATGCCACAAATCCTCCAGATATCAGATATTCAGCCTGTACTACTCCAATGCCTATTTCTTTCATGATGCTTTCCAGCTGAGAGCCCCTAGGCCAAAAGCATCTGTTTTAAGTATCAGGATGGTCTTCTGCAAAGAGGTGAATGTTACTTTTGGGGTCAATGCATCGTAAGTGAAGCACACAGCTCTCCCCAAAAGGCAAGGTTTGTTTTATGTTAGTCTCTTTTAAAGTTCCATTTATTAGTTGCTTACTTTCCCATAAAATTTTGTAACAACCATCTCGAAGTCTTAGATTTTAGGAAATTAAATTTAAGATACACAAATTTGACTGAGGTCATCAGTTGATAGCAGTTTTCTCAAGCCAAGGGATATCTCAAATGAGTCAAGATTACCCTTCTTGTTAGTTTACATACTTTGGTCCCCCACATTCAACTGCAGAAGCTTTCACAAATCGAACAGGTTGCAAGCCAACAGGTTCAATGCTCAGAGTGTTGTTTTCAACAGCTTCCAGGACAGCTGAGGCCAACTGCAAGAGAAATTGAGAAACCGGTTTAAAACAGCTCTTCTTTATCCATTGCCTAAAAGCAGTGACATAGTTCTTCTTCTGAAAAGTCGACATAGAAAAAAAAAATCAACTCACCAAACAGAAATTCAATTACAAATGAGATTTCACTTTCATCATTGAACAGGAGGTCCCATTTCCAAGCTCCTGCTTAAATTCTGCCCTCCAAATAACCCTGCCTTCCCTGAGGCAAGGTAACTTCTTTACAGCCAGGAATGTAGTCAAGCATGATTAAAAAGCTAACAGTATCTTCAGCCATTCTTCATATGCCCAAATAGCACATACATTTGTACATGCTGTGTTCTTGTCAGAGACTGAATATGGTACAAACCTTATTTTAAAAATTGGTCTAATTTTATTGTGTTATATGAAAAATACAAAATTATGCAGCATGCTTCTTTATCTTGAATAAAACAAGTAAATATGTAACTTTTTCAGCTTTTAGAAAGGTGTACAAACAAGTAAGACTGAAAAATATACAGAAAAGCCAACAAAATATATACAGAAGCCAGTTGCAACTTTCAAACACTAGTCTAGTTAAAACAAAGTGCAACTTTGCTCATGTTTTTTTATGTTAATTCTTTATAAACACAAAATCACAAGACACTAGAAATGTGATCATTTTGCTTGATTGGACTAAACACTTGCCCAAGACCAGTGTTTTAACTAAAAGCCATTACCTGATTTTAAAAAAGGTGCAATTTATCTTATTAATGAAATGATTTTGTACTAAGGCTTCTTCCTACTCAATAATAAAGATGTTTTTTCTATTGTACTTTAAATATTTTTTAAAACAGAATGTTAGTATTAAAGTAGTTCATATGAAATGCTCCTTTTCTGTCATCTCCCCAAAGAAAAACACTAAACATATACACAGAAGGCTACTAACAATTGATGTAATACTTCAACCATTCAGATAACTGCATTTCCAATTATTCAGAAACACAATACATGTATAATTTATTGTTTGGTTAACTGCACATTAGCCTATCAATAGCCAAGTGAAAACAGAAGTCGGTCACTACATACAGCATCTGAAAACAATAAATGCTGTAACTGACAAGTGAGAGAAGCCTCATGCTTCCCTTAAGAGGCAATATATATCTACAGTAATTATATTACCACTGAAGCACAAAACCAAAATTAAGCTGCTGGGAAGGACAACAGAATGGCCTACTTACATATACTAAAGAAGTAATTTAATTCCTATAGTAACCAAGTAAACTTCTTAGTGGGAGAGGTTCATATGATAGTGTACACCAACAATAACAAACCGATATACAATTAACTAAAAGACTGTACATGCTTATGGCCAGAAAGTAACCACAGATGAAAAACATGGGAGAAGACCATAACACCTCCTGAAAATAACAGATAAAAATTATGAAGAAAATGCAGGATTTTCTATGAAAAGGGTTTAATTTTACTGAGAAAAAATATCAATAGTTACGGCTTTAAAATTTCTTATTTTAATAAAGATCTAAGAATACGCTGCCTTTCCTTACTGATACCCCAACTACAGCCTGTAAATGCCGCTTAAGAACAAAAACAAAGTAAAGCAGTTGGAACTGCAACCCCAAGATAGGTAAAATTCCAGTCTTTCCTCTGTATGGGAGAACATGTGGGAATAGCACAAGGAAAAAAAGTCTCATAATTCAATTCCTCTAAAATCCTATTTCCAAACTGCCCCTGTTGAATCAAAAATCCCAAAGTCCAATTCTTGTAACTCAAAGCTCTCTTCAAGAAAACTCACAGACTTGCTTGCAGTCTCCTTCGACTGATGTGAGAGAAAACTAGTCTACAAAATTAAATATATGAGTCTCTACGGTTCCCTGTATTAACAAGAGACTAGGACAGGACACTGTTTTTACAGTCTTTGAAGTAGTAGGAATAAAACCTCCACCCATTCTTACAAACATCAGATTCTGACAAAGAGGAGTAACATCTACAAGAAGTAGCCCTAAAATGGCCATATCTGGAACAGTATAAACAAAAGAAAAAAAACGGTTAATACTCCAGACTAAACTTCAGCACTTCACTGGAAACTGTCATACACTAATGAAACAAAAATGGTTAAACTTCATATTAAAAACAATCCAATAGTCTACTGGGTTCTTGTAATACATTTAAAGGGAAGTGTCAGTTACCACATTTAGAATATCTCCATTCATTACCTCACTTTTTGAGAAGGTTAAACATGGAAAAATATCTTCCCGATAAATTTTGTCCAAGAAAGGACACGTTCTGTCCATAGTAGGTTCATCCTTCCAAGATCTAAATTCATTGTACAAAGACAGGTCAGCCTAGAACACACAAAGATTCGCATATTTTAGTACTGCAATTATCACACCATTGTCTATCATTTGCAAATATCCACAGGTAAATAACGAGTATTAAAATGCTTTCCATTGCCCTGTGAAAGAATGTTATCATGGTCCAGCTATGAACACCTTCTTAAATCCACTCTCCTGAGACTGTAAATATAAGCAAATTAAAATATATAATTTTCAAGACAGAGATAATTCATTTACTGGTCACTGTTACACCAGGGACAAGCTAATTACTTCTCCCCCATTTCCTAAGCTTTCAGGATAGCTTTGAAAAACTTAACTGAATGTTTAAAAAAAAAGCCAAAAATTAGTTTCCTTCTTGATGCATCTTCATTACAGTATTTTAGTCCACCTCCACTTCTGTGAGTTACAGAAAAGCAAAGAAATTCAAAGAAAACAACTTCAACTGACTGTAACATGCTGCTGTCCAAACATTTAAAGAAAACAGACTAAACACACTAAATATACCAAAAGAAGTAAACAGGAAGTCAATGTACAAATCAATTAAAAGTATACTTCATTTTTCATCTTTATGCCCAAACTCTCTCCTTTACCACCCAACAGAAAGGCAAGGATATTCACTGGGAATGATTTATGAGCCTGTTCCCCCACAGCTCCTCTAGTCCAAGAGGAAATGCTAAAACAACCCATTAAATCATGCTGGGAGTAACTATGCTCTGCAATAGGAAAAGATAATTTTACCTGCTTTGAAAACATTTTGTTTTGTCATCTCCACACCAAGATCACTTAGCAGTAGGATGGCAGCTATCCAGTCTGGTGTTCCAGAGATCGGTACTAGACTGCTATTAAATATCTACATTTACATTATGAGACAGTCTGTCCAATGGGCTGGCTACCCACTAACAGCTGGAGTACACTGAGGTGCTCCCAAAACACATCATCTGGTTTAGGGTTACTTGAGAAGAATCTTGTTCATGGGCTCCAGGACACGAACCAAGCAGAACGGGGATGAGTGTTTGTGACACATGCTCCTATTCCAACATAAAAGACTATTGCCAGATCCCACTGGGATATGAAACACCATCCTGCTCCCCAGATGCAACACCATCCTCAGATTGGTTCTAACATTCTGCTTCAGCATCTTTTCCCCTCCAACTGGTTAAATCCCTTTCTTGTACTACAGCAGACCTATACTCCTAAAACTATGAGAATGATGCACACTGCAGGCAAAAGGCAAGCCAGGATGTGAATTTAAAGTTTTGTATTATTAAAAACAAATAATACAGGTAAAATAATGAAAGAGGAAAATATATAACGTATGTTAAAAATTGATTTTTAATCCTATTAAAAAGATCAGTGTGCTGCTTTGAACCAACCTCATTCAGCCTTTTTTTTTTCCCCCATGCACTACCCCTCCTCTGAGTCCCCAGCACTTTGCCATTCTTTTACATATATGTTTGGGGGATTTCTTCTGTCACTTTCAGAGTTTTTTGGTTTAACTTTATTTTTTTCTTTTCTTTTTTTTTTCCTTGAAAAATTAGGCTGGAAAATCTGTTTTCCATTAGAGCTACTTGCTTTTATACTCATGTACAATCAGGAACAACCATCTTAATTAAGCTAGTCCATAAATGTCCTGGTTGGTAAGCCACCAACTTCATTGTACAAGTGAAATTCAATAGGTGTAACTTGCTCCCTCAAGGAACATTTCCCATACCTTAAAATCCATCTCAGGTCTGGCTTTAAAACTAATGTAATCAAGAGATACCAGCAGAAAAACACTTCTTTTTCATTTGTACTATAGGATTCTAAAAATTGAGACGCATTTCTTATTAACTTTGTTATTTTCTAGATTTAACTCAATTTTACCCAAACCTGCAAGTTTATAAAGAAGCTGCCTTGAAAAAACTGTTCAGTGAACATAGCTTGATGCTCTTCCTTTCCATTCTACAATGTGATACATTTATATCTCCTCCCTGTCTTTACTTATATTTCCATTAGGTCAGTTTTGATTACTACAAATTAAATATACAACCAAATGCAATAATAATTCTAGTTAAATTTTTTTATGTATTCATTTAAAGTAAAATACAACATCAGTGAAACATTTTAGCTCTCTGAATGACACTGAAGTATTTATCAGCATTTACAGTGAGTGGATGCTACCTGTTTGCTTAAGATCCAGGTAGCTATTCAGCTTATCTCAATCTTTTTAATATGTAAAATCATTAGACATGTCAATTTATCCTAGGAGGTTACTACCACATGCTAGGATGTATTTCTCTGGGATGCTGGCATCTTTCTAGTTCCACTGCAACTTAGGGTGGACAGCCAGCCACTCCTGACTCTGTCTACATTCTACACAGAAACCTGAGAGTTGATGTATTTACACCCAGCTCCATCCAACATCTCCAGGTGGCAGACCCTCCATAAGAGTCTAAAGCTATATTCCCCACACCAAAAGGCCACTGCATAGCCCCAAGCAAGGGAACTCTCAGACTCCCTTTTGAAGCTGAGTCACTAGACGTTAGAAGAATGACATGCAAAGGGTAATTTAACTCAGTGGCAAGAACATTTAGCAAGAAGGGGACAGAACTGCGGTTTCAACCCAGCTCCCAGAAATGCAAAAACATTTACCTTAGACCAACTATAATCAAAAGCAGGAAACAAAACCACAAAGCACTGGATAACAAAAGCAGCTGGGAAGGTATGTCTCTCCTGCTTAAAACCATGATCTAGCCACCATGCCAAAGGCAGTCTTGCTTTCTTCACCCCATGCTACATTCCATTAAATACTCCTGCTCAGATGAGAAACAGAAAGACTCAAGTCCCAATGGGTGGAAAATCCATGTGTTTCTTAGTGATCCCCTGTGCTGTCACTGGAAGAACAGTCACCAGTTTGAGCAGCCTTGAGCAGCCTCAAAGCGTCTCCTTATGCAGCCAACAAAAAAGGAGAATGAACTAAAGAAAAATGTCAGGAAGACTGGTTCTTCTGCAGTATATCCCTCACATTCCCCACCTTCTCTCCACAAGAAATTGAGGCAAAACAGACTTCTCCCCTCTCTCGCTCTTGCCCAACACTTAAAAAATTCATTGAGTCACGACCTCAGTGAGATGCTTACAAAGTAATAGGATTCCATCCCAGCTCTCCCCTTTTCTCAAGGGCAACAAGGATTCAGTTTTAGTAAGGAAAATATACTGGATACCACTGAAAGTGGGCAGTTAGGTTGTAAATCTTCTGATTTATTTTTTTTTAAAGTTTGAGTATGAAAACAAAGCTGAAAGATGCCTTTATTTTCTAGGTTTATTGTAAAAATGTGTCCAGTACAAATGAACCACTTTGAACCACATTAGATATCCAGTTGGCCTGTTTCCCCTCTGACAACAGCCAGCAGCCACAGAGCTGGCTGAAGAGACATATGAGAGGAAAGACAGTGATATGTATTCATTTTACAGCCTCAAAACTCTTAGCAATCTGTAGTTAAAGAAGTTTCCTAAGCCAAATGTCATATCTGTCTTCTATATACCTTGAGAGGCTTTTGTTACTTCGCATGACTATATTTTGAACACATTTATATTTTTAATCTTGTTACCTCATGACAATGAGTAAAGTTTTATTATGTGACTGAAAATTATATTCCTTTTAGCTTCCAGAGTTTTCTTACTACAAGAATTCATTAATAATTGTTCATCATTCATCTTCCACATGTCACCTGAAATTGCAGAGGTTTTTCTTCTACCTCAAGTATCTCTACACAGAAATCCTTCCATAGGTTTGACCATTTGTCACACTTCCTCACATTTTCATTATGTCCTGTGATGAAGATGATATAGCTGCATGCATAGAAACACACATTTACTATATGTTTATACAGCAGTATAATGCTTTTTCTTTGGTTATTTATTCCTTTCCTAAGAATTCCTAAGTCTCTGTTGGTCTTTGACCACCACTGAGCACTGAGATGGTGCCTGCAGACAATGATCAACAAGGACGCCACCTTTTGTTTTCAGCACAATGTAGCTTTTTCCAAGTTCACAATTGCAAGCTTGCTAGTTGCATTTTTTCCCTAGATGCCTCATTTCTCAAACTTATTTAGAATTTCATCTGCTGTAAAATAATCTCCTTCTCAACTCTTTGGTCAATTTTTGTTACAACCATTCCAAGGACTCAAGTACCAACCTCTTCCCTCATTATTTCCCCATTTTCAGATACATGAGTACATTCTTTAAAAAAAAAAAAAGTTTTAAAAAATCACACAGGCCCCTGCAATTTCAATGGTAATTCTCACCCTGTTCTCTAATAAGTCATTGATTATGTCTTTTCTCTGGCCTCTTTCACCCATTATTTATCTATAAAATTACTCTTCTTCTTTTCTATGATAATTTATACAACATTTGTGAAAGTTTATGAATTTTCAGCAAAGGACTTCGTAAAAAGTCACCAGGACTTATCATTCAGTTTTATTGCTTTGGTTTATTGTTTGGTTTTTTTTAATTACCATCTTTAAATGACTAATTCCAATATTTGAAATGTTATTTCATTTTCCCTTAATGATTTAAAAGTAAACGAGACTTGGAAAAACCATCACCTATTGGTATGTAAGTAAAGTTCTTTCACTAACGAAAAACACCTCTAAAATAGTCAGCATTACATGAAGAGTTAATATATACTAAATTTAGTGTGAGTAAAACAAAACAATAAAGCCATCTTATCAGCAAATATAGAACAATCCTTATACTGTTACCTCTTTACAGTCTTTTACAATTGGCTGCATCATGGTAAGGTCCTGATGACTGCCACCCATAGCACTGCTTGTACTCTTGTTTCTTGCATGGCCTTTCTTAAAAGGAGTTTTTCCACCAGACTGAAACTCCTTAGTTGGAGACGTTGGTGAAGTAGACAGTACTAGTGTTTTCAATGCTGCTACTTCAGCCTGGAGGACATCAATCTTCAGGGAGGTGGAGGGGGATAAAGTCATTAACAAACAAAAAAATATATTAGGTTAAGAATATGTTGAATCAATCAACAAAATCTCCAGCTATCTTGGTTCAAAACAAGATGCCATCTTCCAACAATAGTAGCACACAGATGTCTATGCCATTGCATACCGTAGTAACACTCATTTCCTATGCACCATGCTGGCTATCTGACATGATGCTAAACACCCTGTCCATGTGTGTTAGCCAAGAATATGTCAAGCAACACCAAACAACTTTGTATATATTCTAATATAATGTATACAGGTAATGTTTTATCTATATCTTTATGATTCACACTTTAAATTTAAAACCATGTGAAAAGACAAAGCAAGCAAGCTAGAAAAAAAGCTCACCTTTCCTTGTGCTTCTTTTAACTGTTTTTCTGCTGCAGCTTGTTTGACATTTGCTTCTTTAACCATTTTGTGTGCTTCCTATAAAAAAATGTTTATCTAGTGTAAATGCCTCACACAAATTTATGAAAAATCCAACAACTAAGGACATACTTTTGCTTCACGGAGACTACTTGTGAATATTAAGTTGTGCAACAGTCTGAAATGAAATAGTTACATTAAAAAAAAACCCCTACAAATCTATCATTTGGATTCATCACTGGCCCACCAAGTTTCTTCCCCTTGGTCCTGAGTCCAGATTCAGAAACTCAGCAACTCCACCCACCCCCCTCCAGCAGGAACAATACCTGTCATGAACACCAGGCTCCAGTTACGCTTCAGTGGCTGACAAGTCAAGTTCCTTGACTGCCAGGGAAAGACTGAACCAGCAGCAACAAAAGCAACATGGGCACAGTAGCACATTCAAAAGAACTTCTACCTTCTTCTAACCAGAATAACCAGTTTTAGACAACTGTAAACTTCTGCATGAAGGAACTAGTCAAACAACTACGAAGTCTAAATTCTTGCCATTAGCAAAACAGACAAAGCAACAGCATAAAAACAGTTTGTCATTTAATAAACATTTCTTAAGGAGAACAGAAAAAGCACTAAAAAAACAATCCAAATAAAGAAACAAGGCTAAGCCAATAAAGAAAAAAGCATAAAAGGACAGAGTTTTTTAAACACCCTTTTACCTCATACCTTTAAGCCTTTTGTCTGTATAATGTATTTGCTTAGGCTCTGATCCAGCAATTTGCACCTATGATCAGATTACTGTTCTCATGCGATACTTACTGAAGGCAACAAAAATTGAAATATCAGAGCCACCAACTAAATTACTTGGGATAGGATGCTTTTCATATCTGTAAAGCGCCTAGCACATCTGGACGCTATATAAATAAAACAAAAAAGTTTGTACATCATCATACCAAGAGATCTGGCTCCCACTGGCATACAACACAGCTGTGTAATATGGGTTTGTAAAATTTTCTTAAGTAACAAGACACATGCAGGAATGGGAACATACACATTTATACAATGTGTACAAATACATTTAACACTGATCATGCAGTTTCTGCTTAGTGATGCCCCTTTGAAAGCAAAGCATGTTGCTGTGCTATTACAGTGTAATAATGTATTATATGAATCCAGCTGTGCAAAACAGGTCTTGATCCTCCACTGGGATTCATTAATATAACCTCTAGCATATCCACTTACATGGTTGCTGAAATTAGTGGGATTCAGAATAAAATATGATTTCAAAGGCTGTAGATCCCAGTGCAAAAAAAAAAAAAAAAAAATCAATAAACCTCACCACTGTGTCTTGTTAGGGCCTCTTAGTGAAATCAAATCACAAAATAAAACTCAATTAACACAGTTTTAACAAACTGACACATTGTTCTAAGTTATGAAATGTCATAAAAATAAAATTTCACTGATAATTTTATTTTTATTCCTCTACAGTTAAAATATCTGCCCAGTATTTTTCTCTCCCCCAACATACACAGGTATTTATGCTAAAAAGTACCCTTCCAGTCTACCATTTGTTTTTTTACACATAGGAACTGCTTAATATTTTAAGTAAACTTGTCCTGCCAGGATGATGAAACAAAACCCATAGAGCAGTTTTTGATTTTTGCATGTCAGTATTTTCAAGCTTCTTAATAGCACTCTTATACCAATACAACATCATAGATTTAAACACTGATTCTAAAACATATCTAATGTTGTATCTTTATGCATATGCTGAAAGCCAATACTTAGGATTTAGTAAACATATAAATCATCCACAGATTATGAAATTTATTCTGACAATTAAAGATACCACAATTTAGGCCTGAGGCATTCCTACATATATTCCTAAGATAAAATGAGAACTGATTGTTCTTCAAGTATGGATTTAGGATTTTTTTCTGTATAACGCAATCTCACAATCTTTGCTGGTACTACTGCTGGTCCTACTTAAAGTTCAGGCTTCTCACTTGGTAACCAGGTTTCACCCTGATTCATCACTCAGTACTAATGTTTCTTTTCAAGTCTGTGGGTGTAGCATGCTGCCAGACCCAAAATTCAGAAGCTGAAAACGTGGTTAAGTTATGTACTTGCAACCTCCATTGATCTGGAACTACATTATTTTTTTATTTAGTCACCATAGCAACCCCAAATTTAGCTCTTATCTAGATAGCCTTGTTGTCAGACAGAGAAGCTGTCTCAAAATAGTTATGCCAAAAAATAAGCTGATATATTTTCCATATTTTCTTCATTTTGTGTCTAGGCGGATTGACAAGTTCAATAAGATGTCTCTCATCTAAGTGAAAAGTCTGTTGCTTGCTCTTAAGCCTCTACTTCAACACCCAGGTCTTCAGGACACAAATCCCTTTAAAAGCTTATTGCAGAAAAATTCAGCATACAATACACTGGTTCTACATAAAACATCTGTCTCAGCTTCCTTTAAGTATATCACATTGAAGACTCCAACAAACCTCAAACAGACTAGCTGTAAGTTCTTCCAATTCCTGTCCAAGTTGATCTCGTACTTTAGAAAGCCTTTCACATTCTTCATCTTTTAACTTCAGCTCCTATGGAAAATTGAAAGTTATTTATTCTGACTTAAGAGTAGTAATTTGGCCTTTTAAAGCTAATACCAAAAGAGAGGGGGGACAAAAAGAAAAAAAACCAAATAATCAGAGGAGCATAAAACCTTTGCTAAACAAAGCCTTTCAAAATATTCATCTTAACACTAAAAACAATTAAGTTAATGCTATGCATATACAGCTATTTCTTCCTGCTGTACAGAAATATACCAGGCCAATCTAAAGTATCCCTTAGCTATACATCAACATTTCCAAAATTCTCCAAAGTAAAAAAAGCATTTTTTCCTGAAAGTATGAAAGACTAAATTCACTTAAAATATAGATCAAATTCATTATCGAGACAGACAAAACATCAGTTCTGTCTAGTCATTCCTTAAAGATAAAGCAATCCTTTTTAAAAAATAAAAAAACCCCAAATTTAAAAAAAAAAGCACTATCTCAAGACAATCCCCAATTCTAAATAAATTTTAAAATATATTTTACTATAAATACTCTATCCTGAATATCTCCTTACAATGAAACAATTCCAAAATCATACTGTAATTATATCCTTACTCATGTTTATGTAGATATATAAATAAAACTAAAGTAACGTAATGAAATTCAAAATGCTGTCTACACCACTAAAATTTGAGCAAAGGTCTGACCATTACCACTTTTACAGTAAGATTTTAACACAGATTTGGCAATATAAGGGTTACACATGCCCAATCTTATCTGTATTGAGGAGAAAATGGGGTAATTTACAGAGAAGTATAAAACGGTTGACAAGAAATTTGAAAGAAAAGTTCTTCTCCCTTTCCCCAACCATTAAACCCAGGAAACTCTTGCAGAAAGAAAGGATGTAGAGAAAAAGTAAAAGAAAGAAAAGCAGTAAAAAGCCAATTCTGACCTTTCAAACTTTTGTTTTGCCTTAAATCCCTTCCCACTCTCATTCAGTTGTTCCTCCTCTTCCCCCTGCCAAGATAGCTATTACACTGCTGTCACTCTTGAAATGCAAGACCCTGTCACTGACAGGTTAAAGACTTCAAATACAATCTAGCAATGATTTGCTCTGAAAACCTCCACAAGACAGACAAGAAAATATCTGCCCTCAGAAAACTCCGGAAGGCCAGTCACTAGAGAGTCACAAAAAAAGGCTGAAATGGCAGCTTCCCATGTGTTCTGGGGAGGTGGTTAGTATTTCTCCTTAAGTCTTCATGACTGAAATAATGTTGCACACAACACTGTGGGAAACTGCATCTTGCCTTGGAGCATGCCAATCAATACTAGGTCTTGCTCTCCATTTCTGCAGTGAAATGGGCAATTGATCTTTCTGTAATGTGAAGGGTCCTTTTTGACTTCAGCTCCTAGATTGGACAAGTGCTTAAGGATTCTGCTAGGCTCATTTAGTACCAAATGCATTATTTCACCCTTCTTTTATTTGGTTTTAACTTCAGACATTTTGATTGATTTTTAGTCTATTTTGTTTGTCATTTGGATTTTTTGCTTTCCATATGCAACTATTTTGAAATGCATCACTTAATTGATGGGATTTTTTCCCAACAACATATTTATCAAATAGTACTCAACTCTTACTCACTAGCTACAATTCCGTGCAGTGACCTAGCCCTTTCTTCCTCGGGAAAAAAAAAAAAAAGGCAGCAGGAAAATAGCTACAGAAGGAGGCATGAATACAAAAAAAACAAAGATTAAAAAAATGGGGAAAAAAAAGATGTAAAAGAAAGAGGGAAGCAAAATTTAATTTTGTGTTGGTTTAAAGCATTTCCCATATAAAGTATGGTTCTTAATCAGGAAATGAAAGATTCTGATAAAAATGCTTAAAGCTCAAGTTTCAACTTTTCCTACAAATGCAGAGAAAACACCAATACATTTCCTTTGGCTTACTTCACTGATTTGTAAGGATGATGCTACGTACACATCAATATGTCTTAAAATGAGGTTATATTAATATTCAGGTCAAGAGTTGTCAAACTAACAATGAAAGTAAAACTACCTCGGGTTCACTTTTGGGCTATCACTCCCAATACACTATTTACATAAAATAGTTACCATTCTGCCTGCAACCAGAAAGATTAGGAGGGAATAGATTAAAATTTAAGCAGATGAGTAAAGTTACTTAACAAAAACAAGAAGGAGACAACACCAGGTAGTCTACTACACACGGTTGCTTAGCTGGATTTGTCACATACTGGGCAGGTTCCCATGACGTGATTCAGGAGAAGGATAATATAATACATTATTTTTGCCAAGCAAGTTTAAGTTCAGGTCTTTTAGGCAGGGCTAAGCAAAAAGCTTAGCAGTTATTGGAAACTTTACTACTGCCTGTGTCAAAGTCATTACTGAAGACTTCTCAGCCATACCCAAAAAAGCAGCAGAAAAAACAACTCTGTGTGCTAGACTAACCATTAATGCTGCAGTCCTTTCAAACAATACTGTTTTGAAAAAATATGATGAACTATTATAAAGCACACTACACATATTCTCACTGAAGTAGGCAATAAAAAATTTAACTAGCATGGAAAAAAAATCTGTATCAAAGAGTCATTTTGTTGTTTATTTCACTTTGATCTTCTCCAACAGACTACAGGGTAGGTCTTTAAAAAGAAGCAGTGAGATAAAAAAATGCAAATTACTGCTTCAAAACCATTCACACTTTAAAACCTAGAAAGAAGATCATCCTACATCTAATCCAGCAATTTAACCAAGTCAGAACCAGATGCATAATACCAAGGAAAGAACATTTTCTACAGATATCACCTAAATTCTGAACTGTGGGGTACTGCTGAATTCTGAAATTGTCAAAAAAGTAGAATGCATTCCTATCTGACTCATCTTCACTCAGCACACAAGTTAAACAAGCTACATAAAAACCAGTCCCTTGCAACCATATTCACAAGGGTATTAAATGGGACAGAAAGTCCAGCATATCTTTCCAGAGTTAGCAGAATTTCACAAACAACAGATTTATCATTTTATGGCATGGGTAAAATGCCATAAAATGCTTGCATGTAGTCTTCTACTCGGCTGAGAAAATTTCTATGCCTACAATACACTTCAACAGCATCAGAGGTGTGGAAACCGAAAACTTTCATCACTCAAAGACAGACAAGAACTGCTCAAACACCTTCAGAGAACCAAGACATCTTTAACAATGACAAGCCTGTAGCCCTACAATTCAACTACAAATGGATTTTTAGAAAAGCTTGAAAGCATACTCTTAAGTGGAGTTCTAGAGCATTCTCATTTTTATTGTTTGTTAATTTATGAGCAAATAACAAGGAAGAAATTTAAAATGCTGAATGTACTGTATAGTACATGGAATTCCTGTGTAGTTATCATGAACCTGTTTATTGATTAATCCATGCAAAGTTTTAAAAATGTCAGGTTTTACTGCAGATCTGAAGACATAAGATCAAATTGTAACACTCAGTTTGTTTCTGAGCTGAAGAATGCATACAGAAATCAAAGCCTTTGAAGGAAAAATCTTGATCTCAAAATCAAGTTCTCAAACTATTGACTGAAATCGACAATAGCACGTTCTGCACTGTCACCTCTTTAACAAGAATTACTGTATCAGTGTGGGAAAAACCCTCAATTTAACTCTATTAGGAAAATACCAGTAATTCACATTTCCATTACAAAAAGTCAAACTTATTTTACTTGTTACCAACAAGTGTACAGATCTTACTTGAAAGACCATGGGAAGCATGAAAACCAAATACATTATTTGCAACCAGCATCTCCAGTAGAGTGCTCTTTCCTCATCAGAACGCTAACCACCAGTGACACCCAAATCTCAACTCTCCAAGAGAAAACATATCAACACAGAAAGCCAAGTTTCTTTCTGTAGTCATGGATGACATCAATGTATTGACAGTAATAACTTTGGGACTAATCACACAAAAATTCACAGAAAACATGACTACAAACTACTACAAAAACTCCAAGCAAGATGTCCAAAATGCATGCAACGTGTTGGTTAAACCAGACGAAAAGCAAAAGGTATTCCTTTGCTGGGACTCTCTTAAGTCTGTACATAAAGAAACACCACATACCAAAATACCATTCCTATTCTCTCTGAGGCTATTTACATGTGGTTGACCTATCTTCAGTAACCACAGTGACATAGCTCAACCCAAACATGGCAGAAAAAATGCAAATGCATAGAGACATGAGGAGATAAAGTTCCAGGCATTGAATCACTAAGCCTTTTGACAGCTTCTCAATTTCCCTGATGCTCTTTAAAAAGGCAGTGAAATAAGGAGAAAAGTCCAGATCATCTAAAGCAAAGACTACTCAGTTCCGCTTTCAGAATATGGTCAGAAATTAAGACTTCAGCGAGAAAACAAGCAAAAAATTATCTGAATTGTCTCAAAGATTGAAAATAGTTACATCGTTTTAATTAAGGGAAAATTTTAAAGGCAAAATTATGTAAACTGTTATATGTTCCACTAGTACAGAATACTGCCCTGCTCTTACCTCTGAGACAACCCTTCTCCCAATATTATTACATGATTTGATGTTGCAACTGATCTAGATTGAATTAGAAAGTGTAGTTTTCTCTGATCAAGAAACAAATTTTTGAAAGACCTTTTTAATTAACAATTTTGCTAGCAATGCTGTTTATTTTGAAAAGTCTGTAGTCTTAAGAAATACAAGGTATACACGAAGGAGAAAAAAAAGAATACTTATTCTATTCCTGAATAATATATTCAAGAACCATATTTAAATGCCTAACAATTATACATTATACATACGTTATCTAATATAATAAAAAGAGAGTACATTAAGAAAAAAGTTGCACTCCAAAAAGAGACATGAAAAAAAAAAAAATCTTCAAAATTTCCATTTCCTTTCTAGTTCCCTTTCTGATCACAACTGCAACAATTTAAAACCAATCTCTGATGTATATTACAATCATATAAAGTTAGGGTAGAAAATTCAGAACAAATGAAAATTGCAAAATAGTAAATCTGCATTTACTTTGTTCACTCCTGGGAAATCTGCAGCCTGCAAAGTTTCCAGGCTCAGTAAGCTCAACAAAATTCAAGTGCAAATTGTAAATCTCATTTTTCTTACTGTTCCTAATAAACAGCATAGAGAATTACAGAGACTTTAAAGCCATTAAGCAAAAGACAATCAGCTACATAGAGACACTACCTATTAATTACATCCCTACAGGTTTTGAACTGAGTACTCATCGATGAAAGTGAATATACTTCAAAATAAAACTTTAAAGATTTCATGACACTGAGTATCACAGGGTGGGTACTGCACTATGTGAACAGCCACGACTTTTGAAAGAAAGAAACCAGAGATGAATTAGGGATAGAAAAAATTAGTCCTCACATAGGAAGGGGAAGAAAGTAGATATAACAGAAGGAATGGAGTTTATTGTTGTACAGTCTGTACAGACTCCTGCTGTGATTGTGCAGTTCTGAAACAGTGCAAGTTTAGAAAGACAAGCAGACAAAATGTAAGTTAACCATCCAGCATAACACTGTTAAGAATCACGAGGGGCTGAGAATTAGCACGAACTTTGACATCAACAGTCTCAAGTTAGCACTGAATTGCTTTTGTTAAGACCACCCAAAGTTTGAAAATACCTAACGTGCAGTTAGTATGTCCTAGCAGCCTTCAAGCCATTTCCTTCAAAATAGCCTCAGCAAATTTCAGTGTGAAATAGGAAACATTTCAATCTCTAAGAGACAATGTGGTATACTCTGTAATAGGATTTTCAGATAATTCCAAGGTAATAGTAGCAGGTTTGTAGCCAGTTGTGGTTTTCAAGTACACGACCTGTAATTTGGTACACTGCAACGAGCTAGAAGAGTTTTTCTAAAGTTTAAACATTAATTTGTTCTTACTTTCTACGGTTCCAAATTTAACTGCTAGGATTATATGTTCACATGCAAGGTCCTCAAACTTAGCTCATGTTAATGTTTTCTTTCAGTGGTCAAAAGCTAACCAACATATACATTAGCAAAGGAAGCCACTATTCAGCAATAAAACAATCAACAGAAGAAGTGATGTCAGAACCCATATTTAAGACTCACATTTACAAGGGCAAATGCAACTATGACAGAAATGATGACTGCATCCAACGAGATGAGGTAACAGAGGAAAACAAGGTCAAACACAAGATAAGATGAGCTTAAATCTAAGCAAGGATGGAATCCCTTAGAGGAGACGAAGGGGCACGGATACAAACAGCACACATACAAACAGCACTAAATCTACTCAAAAGTTTAAGAACGGAGGAATGTTAAAGTGATAAATAATGGCTTTGCATTTATATAGCACCATCCAACCAAACAAGACAAAGCGCTTTACAAATATTCATGAATTGAGCCACAGTGTCTTCAAAGGTATCCATATTCAATTTCAGGTGTGGTGTAACAGTACTCTAAAGAGCACCAGTGACATCTTTATTGCTTCTTTCCTATGCAGGCATTCCCCTCTGAAACTCCCCTGTTTCTAAAGCATTTATAAATTTCATTAAACATGCTAACTTTTATACTTTAGGAGAAAGAAGACTCAAAAGGTATATAATCAGCCAGTGAATACTTATTCACTAACAGCAGATGACAGAAAATTACTCCTGTCCTCAAATGTCAGAATGAAGGAATGGTCTTACATTTCAAAGAGAAAGTGTGTTTAATATGATATTGCAGGAAAATCCTCCATGGCTAAGTAGCAGCAGCAGCACTAGAAAAACAACATTATCAAGGAATAATTCTAAGTCATCAGCACTGCACACATTAAGAAAACTTTACGTAAAATAATTACATCATAATAAATCTGTAAGAAATGAGTAGACTTCAAGTGTACCTTCTGGTCCACCTATCATTCTGCAATACTAGAAACACTTTGAAGAGAGAAAAAGCAGGAGGAAAAGACAACAAACCTTACCCTCTGAGCTTTCGCAAGTTCTTCTTTCAATCGCTCATAGCCCTTTTCTCTTACTTCCAGTACAGATGGGCTCCGTAAGTGAGATAAACTGTCTGTACTCAACCCAAAAATATCTTCATTTCCTTCAGCAACATCTGCTACTGTAGCACCCTGCAAAAACTCTCTCTCTACGTTATTGCTCTCCTTCCTGGCATTATTGTGATTGAACGACCCACTCTGGGGTCCAGAGGTAGAACAAAGTACTGCGTCGGTAACATTGATGCTGTAAAGAGAGCAATATATTTTTTTATTTATATAATACATTAAGAATAAATATTTTAGAAATGGCAGTAGTGGTGTTGAATGTATAATTATGGGTACAATTTAATATTATATAACTGTAAGTAATCTTAATTTTATCTTTAATAAAGCAAACATCTTATATGCAACAAACATCAGCAATTTAAATAAAAAGACACACAGAATTTACCTGACACCTGATAATTCTCCACAATTCAGTTGTCTGGGAGATGAATAAACAGGTTGTGTGGGGAGGTCAGAAACACTTAATGCATTGGGTTGGATTGGTGTGGAGGACACAACAGAAGGATGTGGGCGGTAGATGACACTGGGTGAGGTAGTTTGTTCCTGAGTCCCTGGCTCATTTACTCCAAGAAGATCTGGTGTAGTAGGCGAAGCAAGGTTCACTTCATGAAAGCCTTCCAAGGGATCACTGGCCATAATAAAAGCCTCATCATATGAAATCCTGAATGAAAGAATCACATTATCAGAATGCAAACAGGAAATAATTACATCCAACAGCTATCTGAATTTAAAAAAACACTCAAATATGTTCAGAATACTTCATGATAGAAAGGAAACTGTGGACTGTTCTTGCAAAAGTATGAACTTCAAACACCAAAAATGTTTTTTTCCACACATTGCACTGTTGATCTAAAAGCAGACTGCATCTAAATGGGATGATAAAATCAAGAACACATTCTACATCATAAAACAAAGTAATCTTTAATATAGCCTAGAGTTGTTTTGTATCAAAACATATTTCATTCATGAAAGCAGGAGAGACCTGGGAATTAGTGAAAAAAAAAAAATTTAAACCTAAAGCTTCCATTTTTAATCTCAATGAAGCAAATAATCTAGGACAGAAATCACTGAACCTTTAAATAAATTACAGTCCATAGTAGTTTTGTTTAAATTACTCATCTGATCTTGTAACAGTTCACTGAAATGACAGACTCTGCCAATAAGACTTCTTGTGAAGTATGATGATGTATATTTAATACATCACACAATTAAGTGATCATGACAATTGTGAAGAAGTATCATACCCTATTTTCCATCAGTTTATCAGAGATGACAAAAGTCTTTGCATAATTCAAAACTTAAGTTGGAAGTAGTATGGAGAAATCTGTGAAGCAATTACTGAGCAGTGCTTGTACACTGCAAAAAAAACCCCAAACATTTTCCATGTTATTGAAATACAAAAGAGAGAAAATTCAGGCTTCAAAAAGGTACTTAACATGCAAAAAAAGAACAGTGCCTCGAAACAAAGTAATACATTGCACTTTACAGAAAAAGTAGTTTGGATCTTACATCGGAAAACACAAGGCAGGGAGAAGATCTAGAAGGCTGACAGTCACAACCATGAAGAGACTATAACATCAACTTACATTCAGTTCATGAGCTGCTTCATAAAACACACAGAAAACACCATGAATGGAATCCCCAAATTACATATGAAGTAGTGTTTTAGTCACATTAATACTTTCTGGTCATCTTAAGCTTAAAGAACACTGTTCAAAACTGTTCTGAATCTCAAGGATTGTGGTGTGTATTTACCAGTGCTAAACAAGTAACTTTACCACATTGGCAAGCATATGTGGAAGAAATTCAATTGTTCAGATAGCAAGAATATGTTATTAATTTTTCTCTCTGTTAATTCCTCCCAGGAAAAAAAAAGGAAAACATCAGGACCCCTCTAAGAAACTGCTCGGACTTAAGGGACAAAAAGGACCTTACATGAATAAAAAGGGACATTTTGGGTCAGGGTTTTTTTCTGCAGAAAATTTTATGCAGAAATTCGTTTTATTTTGAACTATCAGGACCAGTTGTACAAACATGATTCACACATAAAAACATTGTCACAGTTTTGTGCTTTGGAGTTTTTCTACTATAACATGGAAATTAAAAGCTTACTTTTGAGTTTAAGTAACTTCTGCAAATATTGCTGTTTGTTTTCATTATAGTTCTTCTTAACTATTAGAAGCATTATAATTACATGCTCTACATGATGATACGGCCTGTTGAGTCAACAAATTAAAATGAAGGGACTGACAGAGCTACAGGACATTTTTTCAAAGTTAAATTTCAAGAATAGTGCAACTATTACATGCCATTATTTTACATTTAATAAGCTAAAATACTGACATCTTGAAAAAATAAAAATTACAGAAACAGCTCTTTATAGTTCATCATCCCAGTTGAAAAATATCCATCTTGCAGGTCTCAAAGTCAGGTTCATATCTACACAAACATATTCCCTTTCTATGTTTCTACCACTCTCCTCTTTTTTGACCATCAACTAAGCTGTACCCAACACCACCATACCAGCAACAACACCAAAATGTCACTTCCAATTCCTGATTCTTTGGATTCCAGTCCTCACCATTAACAAAAGACACAGGTTTCTGAATAGGGATGTGAAAAGGCTGCCTGGATAAACACCTTGCCTTTTTTAAGTCTACAGCACCTGGGAAAGTGCACCCAAATCCACACAACAGAAGGATTAAGACCCAGATGAGAGCAAAACAGGAACAACTCTTCTGCCACATTTTCCACTCTGTTGACTAGTTTCTATTTCAAGTTTGAAAGACATATTCCTAGCTGCTCTGAAAACTCCCAATCTCCCTTGATATTCAATAGAGGTATCATAGAATTTCACATCACTAATACCACTGATTGTTTTCAGTTGCACGTTGGGCTGAACTTTGTCATGCAATTTTTTTTTCCAAAAATTGGTTTTTAGAAAACACTTTTTCCAAGTTAAAAATAAAGCACAGGAAAAGCTTATTTGCTGGTTTTTAATGTATTTTACTATTTCTGAACAAACCTCACGGCTATCTGTTTAGCAAACACTTTAAGTACATTGAGTAAGCAACAGGTTAAAAGATGCACCATTCCATATATTTGTGATAACAGACAAATTCAGCTAAATTATGAAGTGCAGGAGGTCATGCTGGCTCACATAGAGAAAAAAACTTTGGAAGCCTGCTTACTATCTTGCAAATGTTCAAATGCATTTCTAGCTGTCCCTCTAGACCATTGCATCAATTTACGATAAGCAAAATATCCTGCAGTATTTTTAACAGGGGGAAAAAAAAAATAGCTTAAACCAAAAAGATTATGGAATTTTATTCACACGACTATCACTCTGCTTGTACATTAAAGATCTATATTACCCTAAAGAGGCAAGAGATTTATGAGTAATTAAATCCACGCATAACTTCTCAGCTACCAAAAAACAAGCTCTTTCTGATACAGTAAGTAAAAAAGTTATAAAAGTTATTCCTGGAAGAGCTGAAAACGAAGTCCCTCAGCTAAGCTTTTCCCACAGCCAGTCAAATGGGCAGTCATAAGCAAACCATCTATGTAAAACACTTTCCACTCACAGCTTTCTTCTTTCCTAGCATTACTTCTCACTAGGCAGTGAGCAGGCAGAAGCCCTGTACACCACCCAGACAAGACAAAGGAGCCCATATCAAATATCTCAGTTTCAAGACTCACCAACACCATTAGGTTGTTACCAAGGCACCAGCTGAAGACACATTACACCTTAATGAAACCAAACATACGTGCAAAAAGCCAAGTGGTTCTAAAAATAATAGCTCTCTTTCGGGAAAAGAATTCTTCAAAGTTATGGTAAGCAAAAGAAGGGGAGAGAAAGCACATTAAATTTCAGTGTCATTAAAGATTAGAGGCTTCCTTAAGACTTTGTGGGGTGGGGATTCATATTATTGATTAAGGCAGCAACGAACAGCCTTGCTGTGAAGGAACATGAAGCAAATGGTAAGTGGAGAGCTTTACCGGGAGCCAAGCTGACAGTGTGTAAAAAAAGCACAGTGTTGACACAGCACTCTTTGGTAGTAGTTCTGTGCTACTGTGAACAAAAGCTGATATTCTGACATTTCAGGGCAGCCCACTTATTAAATAAAATAATGAATTTTCTTAATACTTTTTCTATCAGGTTAATATGAGGTGAGAGCTTGGATTTGCATTAGTGCCTACCAAACACATGATTATTTTTATCTTTGTTGATATTATAATTTGGATCACATTAAAAAAATCAAGTACCATAATAAAGCAGGATGGAACAACAAAAAAAATTAATTTCCTTATGCTTTTATCTAGAAATAATGAAAATTTGGTGGGAGCTGCCAAAATGTTGTAGCTTTTTATTACTTCCACTGCCAACTAACCACATAACTTCATGAGGAAACTATACTCAAATCTGTTACTTTATCTAATAGTAAACAAAAACGTACTACAAAGAAATCAATTTATCAACAGTCAGCTTAACACTTCCTATAGCTTCTAACAGGAATCAAGAACCATAAACATTTTTGACAGCAGTGAAAACAAAATGCTTAACCTAATTTTTCTATTATTATTCTAAGAAGGGTTTACCTACTTGACTGAATCAAACCACTCAATAACTAAATACTAGAAAGCTCCCTAAAAAGCAGTAATTTGTTGTGGTTTGCTTCCTTTTAAAAAATAGGAAAAAATTGTTGAAAACCACTTACTACAAACTCTGGAGTTTTTCTTTCACAGATTGCTTTTAAATATGAGACATCTTGAAGATGACAGCTCTGAACAATCTGGTAACTGTTACAGTCTATTTAAAAGCAATGCCAACACCAAACATTTCAGGCATCAGAAATCTCATTTTTAGTTTTGATGGTAAAATGTACCATCACAACAGAATGACTACCTGCTCAAGTGAAAAAAAATCCCATAAGGAAAAAGTTAATGTTTCTAAACATTTTGATGAAGAGTAAATTGTAGTTAGCATTTATAAAAAAAAGGTGCCTATTAGCTACAGTGGTTTAATCTCCATGCAACAGGCCTTTCAAAAAGTAATAGTCCCAAAGACTTCATTTGTTAGACTCCTATGTCTGCTTCAGTTAATTTGGGAAGGGTCAGGAAAGTGGATTTTTTTGTAGCAGTTTCTCAAACAGACTGGCATTAGCCCACCACTGGGTCTGCATTCTTCTAAGTGGGTTTAGAAAAAAATATTTTGAAATATTTGGCATTATAGACTCTGGAATGTAATATGTTTTAAGCCCTAAAGTACTCACTAGGGAATTACAGTCGTGGACTAATGAATACCTTTTAAAGAAGCAGTTCAGTTAAGCACAGTTACTTCATACCTATCAGATGCAAACAGGCAGTTTAAAATTAAAATTGTCGTAAGGCATATATAGGCATTAATTTCAAGTTCAAAAACAAATCAATTACATCCATCCAGTATGAAATACTTATCAGATGTAGGTACAGGACAAAGAAGTTTGGTGGATTTTTTTTTTCCTAAACTGCTTTATTATTAAGCTCAGCCACAGAATTAAAGCAAGTTTAAACACCATTATTGATGCCAGTTGATTGCATGAACACAATTCAAGATTTGGCATAAGAATTTCCTCAAGGTTTGCAAAAAGTAATTCTCACCCTTACAATTTTGCAATTATGACAGAAGTTTCTGCTTCAGGAGTCAAAATACCTTTTTTTTTTTTCGATAAAAAGGTAAGATATGAGAGAAAAGAAAACCGTGAACCACTCCATCCAGTCTTTATATATTCTATTTTTATTTACAAGTGACCTTACACCACACATTTACCAACTCGATAAATTAGGCAAGATGGTAAATAGAAAGTAAATTTTAACTTAGGCAAATCTACAGAATTTAACAGCTAGCAAAACTACACTTGTTTCAATGTAAGAATATTTTTCTATGGCATTCCCTCCAGTTTTGTCATATAATGCTATAATGTGGGTCTTTTTTCTATTTTTTACTCTCACATTAGTCATTCAAAACACTATTTCACACTGTTTTTAAAAAAAAAACACATAGTCCACTTGATAGCAAGATTTTATAAAGTTAAAGGGATTTTTGGTTTGATGAACTGATGGATTAAAAAAAAATCTTTTAAAAACTTTTTTATAGATTTATCTTCAATTAGAAAAATTGACAGGTGCAGACGACAACTGTCTCTCTTCCAGAAACAAGCAGCACACAAGATTCAACGATCTACATTTATGAAGTGCTTGTGAAACCTATAAATAAACATGGTTTAGAGTCTAGTTGATAGTACACCTTTTACTAGGGAGAACAGTCAGTGCTTTGCAAAGTAGAACACTGCAAACTTTTATTGTAACCTAACATTCAAAGAATGCTGTTCTGTTCACAAAGACTCTCTAAACCAAGTTAATTAAACTGAAAATATGATTCTCTTTGCAGATGCTGTTCTTTTTAAGGCAGAGTCTTATCTTGCAAACAACTTCACAATCTCATCTCAGGTTTAAGCCTGACCACAGTGACTGTAGTGTCATTCTTGCCAAGACTTGGACCTAAAGACTCATTTTCATTTAACACTGAAAATATTCAGTAAATAAACTTAAGTAAAAGTTATCATGATTTTCATGATGTTGTATCTGCAATTGCATTTCAAGAAATATTTTCTTAATTCATGAAAAAACAATTAGCATATTATTAAGTGCAATAAAGTCTCTAATACAAGTCTTGACAGTCAAGTTACAGTACTACCACATTTTAAGTTCCACAGTAAAAAGGGTCTTAAAAATAAAAATCCAATGTACACATTTCTTTTCTGGGAAAATCCATAAGCGGAACACTGAGCAACAAGTTCATTGGTATTTTACATCAATTTTTAAATCAAGTCAGTAAAAGCTATAAAGACAGGTACAAGTCTATAATCAAAAGGCTTATTGTGGTTCTTCTACAGAAAAAATTCCCCTTTTTAAATATAGTGTAACAAGATAGATATTCCAGTCACAGCTGTGAGGTGCACTCCCATTTGTTATTTATCAAAAGCATAATGAGAACGGTAAATTATTTATTCTTCGTTGCTCACTAGGTAACATTACTCAAGCACAGCAGATGAACGACTACCAAGACACAAATACAGAAGGCCTAACTTTAACGCTTCCCAGAACTCATTAAACAGATCTATAATAAAAACAACAATAAAAATGTTAAAGCAACAAGATTTCAGTTTTTGCCCTATAGTGAGGAATACAAATATTTGAACACATGGTAGCTGCCAATACATGCTTCTAGTCTGAATAACCTTACATCTGCTTCAAAAGAGAAGCTGATAACTTCACAGTTACAGGAAGTCTGTGGAAGATTAATTATTTTATCTGTCTAGATCACTATTTTTGAGACTTCCTAAGAACATGCTTACAAATGAACACAGCGAACAAAACAAGCAACACAAAACTTAATACTATCTGCAAACAGAACAGTCAACACTCTCAAACTGATGAAAATACTATTGCTTTCTTTCAGCAACACGAACACCGAGGGCATCATTAAGGCTTTGGCCACTCGGTGTTCTCCTGCTTCCAGAGCCCTGCGACTCTCGGGGAGTTAGTGGAGCATTAGCACTTCGGGGGCACGAATTTCCACACAGCTCATCACTTGAAATCAACTTGTAACGAGAATTTACTTTCTGAGCCTTACTCTCTAAAGTAGCTGCATTAGAAATTAAGGTTGAGATCTGCTACTTAACTACCAGTGCTTACAAAACCACTTATCGGCGACCAGGTATGACCCTCAATATTGCTCGACAGACTATAAAGCAACCAGAAGCGCTACAGGCGAGCGCAGGTCCAGCACCCCACACTTCTGGTCTCTACGCACGTTGCTCTGGCACCTCTCGAGGGGGGCGAAATCTGCGAACCCCCCGAGGGGCCCTGCCCGGCTCTTCCCTCCCCTCTGCCTCTCTCGGCGCTCGCACCTGAACCGCACCGGCCGCGCCGCCGGCCGAGAGGTCTGTGAGCGGAGATGCAGCCTTCGGCTCCAGCCCAGCGTCTCCTCGCACCCCTCCCCTCCTCATCCCAGTCCCTCCCGCCCGGCTCGTCTCCCCGGCGTCCGCCGCCCGCAGCGCCGGGGCACGACAGCGGCAGCTCCGTGCGACAGCCCTTTGTCCGCCGCCGGCTCTCCCGGGGTAGGTGCGCCCGGCACTTCCCGGGGCGATCCCCGAGAACTACTTCTGTCCAGTTTTGCCTTGGGCCGCGGCTGGACTCGGGGCCAAGCGCATCCCTGCCGTCGGCTGCCCCTTCGGCGCCCACGCAAACGCCGACGGAGCCGAGAGCGCCCTCCTGCCGCAGACGGACACGACGGCACGGCCCGGGCCGACTCTTGTCCCCAAGCTCTTCCAGGCGGGGACCAACAGCCCCCAAAGCCCGCCAGCGCCCGCTCACGGCGCCCCGGCAAGGGGCAGCGCTCCCCGGCGGCGCCGGCTCCGCCCGCGCAGGCACGGGCTGCCGCAGGCACGGCCCGGCACGTGCGGCGGCACTAGCGGAGAGCCGCGCCCCGGGCAGCCGGCCCCCGTTCCCGCAGGTGGGGCCGGGGCCGCGCAGCCCCCGCCGCACGTACCTGCCGAGCCCCGGGAGAGCAGC